CCATACTCTCTTTGTGTCATTATATTTGACACATCTTTAAATTATAGATCCCGATAAAATATTTGTTAATTACTTGTGTTGTAATTTTGGCCATATCATATTCTATACTCGGTAGTACATAATCATTCTTAGTTCTACAAGTTTAGTACTGCACACAATCCCACATCGGTTTAACATTTGTACCAACCTACATGTACCTAAATACGATAGTATATCATTTTTTTTTTTTTTTTTTTTCAAGCAATGATTGTAAGTTTCAGCAACTATTTACATCATTAGTTCTTAGTTTTGGATTGAATTTCATACTTGTTCTTCTCCAATTAATTAATTTCCGAATTTCCCATTTAAATAACCCATCCTTTTCTATCTACTTTAATCGTTTGCTTATTTTGTGCCTTATCATGTTTATCAATATTATTGTGATGTTAGTTTTAAATATGAGTAGCTAATTTCATATAGGGTTTGAATTGGGGCTAGGGTTCATGGGTTCTTGAGGGTGTGAATTTAGTTCTTTAAAATTCAATTAATTTTCTGGAAAATTGTATAAGATTAATCATAATTGTCTATATGAATTTGATCACCTCATATATGAATACTTGGATTTAATTCAGTTCTTGTCTATGAGAAATTGAGTTAAATTAGTTCAGGTCTTATACAAGCAAACTGATCTTAGAAATAAGTTAGGATTGTGAAAATTTGATTTAATTCTTGTCTATGAGAATTTATTTCATTTTATTTCCACGAATAATTGAAAATCAATTTTACTTAATTCTAATCCCGAAAGAACACCCAGAACCCGAACCATCCAATTTGAACCCTGTTTTAATATCTTGAATCAATTTAGTTTAATTTTCTTTTTACTCTATTTATTCTGTGCACTCGCTGTTAGTTAGTTTTTACTTTACCACCCAAAAAAAAAATATTTATTCGGAAAGATTACCATGACTTGTGCTAGCCTGTGATCACGGACTGTATTTAAAACTTCCTTTTTGCCACTCCTTGAGAGACGATACTCGTGGTCTGGTTATTCTTCGGATTAGCCAACTACGTTTTACTCACTAAAAAAATACACCGACCAAATGGCGCCGTTGCCGGGGAGTTTTCTTGTACCTTGTTCTATCGAAAATTTTATGTTTAATAATGCTTTAGCTGATTTAGGAGCTAGCATCAACCTGATGCCTTCCTCTGTGGTCATGAAATTTGGCTTGGGTGAACTTAAGCCCACTCGTATGAGCCTCCAGCTAGCGGACCGATCGGTGAAATACCCGAAAGGAATTCTAGAGGATGTATTAGTACGAGTGGACAAGTTCATATTCCCTGTCGATTTTGTGGTCATGGACATGGAGGAAGATCGTGAGACTCCACTTATTTTAGGGAGGCCCTTTTTGGCTACTGCTAGGGCCCTTGTTGATGTTGCTGATGGTTCACTTTCTCTGAGAGTTGGGGACGATGTGTGCACTTTTAAACTCTCAGATGTGATGAGTCAGGCCTCAGACCCCACTGAATCATGCAATTATCTTGATATGTTTGAGTCAGTGGAGGGTTATTTGTTTGGAGGCGATAGTGATATTACCCCACCGGATAGTGACATTCATTATGTGGGAGATAAAGTGGCTGAAAATGAAGAAGACATGACTGTTGATTGCGAGCAGGTGATTAGGGATGATGTTTTCCCTGAGTTGCTTACTGAGTTTGAGGAGCAGCCCATTGATAAGGTTACTCCTGAACTCAAACCACTCCCTAGTCACCTGGAGTATGCATTTTTGGACACAGAGGGCCAACGGCCTGTCATAATTTCAGCTCAGTTAGAGTCGGGACAGAAGGAATTTTTTTTGGATGTCCTTAGGTGCCATGATAGTCGCTTTCGCGGCGTTGTAGTAAAACGGAGTCTAACCTTTCGGTTTTTCCCCGAGTGTCGTGTCTCTTGAGGAATGGCGGAGAAGTTTCTTAATTTAATTTTAGTCACGGGCTATCGCTAATTGTTGGAAGCTTTTTCAATATAGGAAAGTGATTTTGTTCTATATTACGCTAAATTATAACTAGGAGCAAGGTGCAATTTAAAGATTAATGTATAAATATTGAATATTCAAGGATGCAAATAAGGGCAATGAATTGAGTAATTAGAAATGGATATGTTCTTGGACCTCTTAATTAGGGAAATTAAAACTAAAATTGGACTAATAATTTCTTTCCTCATAGACAAGAATAGAAACTATCTTCATTAATTTATCCTATTTCTAGGTGTCATTAATGTGTTTAAAATGGTTGGCTTAAATTATTTTCTAAACCCATAGACAAGGTAGAAATAATTTTCCAATATTTTAATTAATAAAAATAGCCAAATTCATTAACTAGTTAAACTCTTTATTTTAGCAATTGAATTTATTTCTCATAGACAAGATGTAAATCCTTTTCATTAAATTATCCTATTTCTAGGCCTTATTAATGTGCTCAAATATGGTTGGCTTAAATTAATTTCTAATCTCATAGACAAGTTAGAATTAATTTTCCAAGAATTTAATTAATGAATATGGCTAACTATTATTAATTACTATTTCATCATTTCAAACAACTAGTCCAATTTATTAATTTTAACCCCTAATTTTAGGTCAACAAGTCAATCCATATTCCTTTTCTCAATTCATGCCCTAACAAATTTAGCTACTCATCACCATTTTTGCAATTAACAAAATAATGATTAAATTCAATATTAACAAGGAATTAAACATGTATGATAGCAAAAATTAAACAAAAATTATATTCTGGAACAATAAACTTGTAGGAACTAAAATATAACTTTCTGGAATTTTTCACCAATTTTTGAACCTAAAATCCAATTTTTGACAACTAATTGATAATTTTCCCAATTTTAACTAGAAAATGCAAAAAGCAACTAAAAATATGCTAACTTCGTTATAAATTTTATTCTAGCTACTGGGAGTGATATTACTATGAATCAAACTGAAATTAAGGCCGAACTAATTTTTTTCTATTTTTCTAGTATTTATTCTAAATTATGAACTAATCTCAAATAATTACCAAAATTAATTAAAAATTACTTATGCTTCGTGAAAAATTAATTTATTCAGATAAATAACTACCTTGAGGCTAGTAAACAACTATATAATTAATTGGAATGAATTCAACAACAATAACTATTTTATTTAATTTTTGGAAGTAAATGCGAAATACTTGAAAAATAATCTGGAAATTTTCGAAGAACAGATTGAACAAACAAAGTGCAGATTCAGATTCTACTCGTTGAGAAGATGAAAATACATATAAAGAACTTACAATTTGGAGCTAAAATGAAGAAGATATGAAGATTTGAAGTTTCTCTCTCTCTAAAACCTTTGGAGCTCGAAAATGGAGGAAGAAAGAGGGTGTTTTGAACTGATTTAGGGTTGGAAGTGGTGTGTTTGAGTTGAGGAAAAATCGGGCTATTTATAGGAGAAATTTCCCCGAAGGCGGCCAACCAGGCGGCCGCCTTCCGCCTCTCTCCGGCCGCCTGCCGTCTTCGTCGCCGACAGCGGTCGGTGGCCGGTCCCCGTCAGCCGTAGGCGGCCACAGAGGGCGGCCGCCTTCCGTCACACATCGGCCGCCTGCCGTCTTTTCCTTGTCAAATCGGATCGCGGCGGATCCCGGCGGATCTCGGCCGCCGCAGGCGGTCCAGCAGGCGGCCGCCTGCCGTTCCTGTCTGGCCGCCTGCCGTCAAATCCCACCGGCCGGCGGTTGCTTCGTCGTCTTCTGCCGCAGGCGGTCACCGTAGGCGGCCGCCTTCCGTCCAGTGTCGGCGGCCTACGGTCTTTTCCGAATCCGGTCAAAGTCAAAGTTTGACTTTCCAAAAATACCGTAGGCGGCCGCGAAGGCCTTCATTTTGGGCGCCTATTTGGGCGCCTTCTGCTATTTTTGTCTGGTAGATGCGGCTTTTCCTGCTCTTCATTTTTGTCTTCTGAATCACCTTGATAAAATGCTTGCTTCTTCCGGTATAAATGCATTTGTCACTCAAATTGACTCATTTTGTGCTCAATTGACCCGAAATCCCGCTAAACATATTATGGATGTGATTTTTACCTGATTTCATGAAACTTGAACCAAAAAATATATAAAATGTGTCTTTTCTTTCTATTTTCATTCAAAAATCGCTTAAATTTGATAAGAAAAATAAGTTCAAAAATGGACTTATCAATCTCCTCACACTTAAGCGTTGCTTGTCCTCAAGCGACGAATTAGTTGTAAACACACTCAAAAGGTAAAGCCTAACTGTATTACAATCTAATTGTTATTTTAAAGAAGTAGAAACAAAAATCTCATCTTTTATTTTCAATTTTTAAACATTTTAGAAAAATCACCCAAAATACAAGAATTTAAAATTAGTATTACTTAAGAAAAACTATTTATTATGTTAAACCACCAATCAATTCCTTATCCCAAGATTTTCATTATTCTAATTTGGACATTCATCTTGTTCACCATTTTTTTTTTTTATTTATTTTTTTTTTTTTGCTCTTTTTCACTCTTGTTGGCGGTGTTATCCCATGGTAAATGCATATTTCATTCTCACAGACTGTGATTAGCGAATGAAACAGAGCCCCTTTTCGGAGATGGAATTGTCCTATAACAATGAGTTTTGAAGAGGTTTATTAATAGTAACATTTTTTTTAATGAATAAAATGAATGTCCAATTAAAACAAATTCAGACCTTTACATTCGCAACCAAAAACCCATAACAATTTTAAGTTTTCAAAAATAATAATAATAGTAAATTCTTATAATAAGGGTGATTTTCTAAACTATTTTGTGAATTGATAACAAATTGAGAAATTAATGTTTCATATCAAAAATAGTAAAAAGATTGTTCTAAAACAAGGTTTTGACTTTTGAGTGTAAAACGCAACCTCCTCACACTTGAGCTGGACCTCGCCCTCGAGGTCTTCTTTTGAGGCACAAAATTGGGAAATAAAGGCACATTTTTTTTTTTTGGTTCTTTCCTCACACTTGAGTTTTGAAAAGATTTTGTGAAGAGGAATAATGAAACAGGAGTAAAATGGTTTTTTTAAAATCCTTACATCATTCATAGTCAGTTTGTAAGAGCATTCAAGTCAAAAGAGCAGCGCAATGTCCAACCTGAAGAAACAAACAAACACAATAAAAAATGTTAAGGAAGAAGCAAAACTAAGCATCGCCTGCGTAATCCCGAGGGCCATAGTGTGGCCTAAGCCAATCTCTCATCTCATCAATATCTAGCCTCTGGGTCTCTAGCTCCGCCTGCATATCCCGGGTGGCTCTCTCCTGAGCTAATCGAAAGTCTCTGAACTCTCCCAGGGCCGTCTCATGCGCATCTCGCATCTCCTGGAATCCTCTGTCCTGTGCAACCCGCATCTCTGAGACTGAGGTCTGTAGACTCCTCATCCCATCCATCATCGCTCTCCAATCTGCGGCGCTAGGCATGTATGAAAAGGGCTCGCTAGATCCCTCATGTCCTGAGGGTCGAGAAGAACTACTCTGCTGGGTCGGCTGCTCAATACCTGGGAGCTCCTGAGTGTTCCGCTTCTTCTTGATCCTCATGTTGGTAAAGGATGAGGATCGGAGAAGGCGGATGCTATCCTGTAAGTGCACTAGTCCTGGAATGTCTAGATCTGGGTAGAATGATCTAACGAGAGTAGTGATGAAAGGCCCTGCCTGGATAGTGCGCCGCACAGTCTTCCCCTGGCTCCGGAAGAAACGAGCCATAAGGACAGCCATATTCACCGGGATGCGGTGAATCAAACTCCAAAAGAATAGTATGTCCTTTTTGGACAACCTGTTTGTGTTGTTAGGTCGTCCAAAAAAACCACAAGAAAGTACGAACGAGAGTATGTACCAGTGAGTCGCCCTCCATTTGTTCGAATGGGGGTGCATCCGGAGAAATGATCTGGTGTCTGTGGAGTGTCTGTGCCAGAACTCATCAATGTCAAATGCCTCGGGTAAGCGGGTCGGAAGAGCACGGAACTCCTCAGTCTGTGTGTATGCTGGGGTATAGAGCCCCATCCTCCATCCGAGCTCAGCCACAGTGATGGAGTGCTCCATGCCTAGAATAGTAAACCTCATCCGAGACTCTGACCCAATAACAGCACCCTCCTGCACAGCCTGTCCGTAATGAGTGAACTGAACGGAGCACAGAAACTCCATCGTCAATGGAAGGCTGGCCCTCTCCTGAACGAATAGAATCCTCCGCCATAAAGAGTCTCCTAGCAGGGAATCAATCTCATCCCAGTACCCCCATTCCTCTAGCATCGTCGGGTCCAGGATCATGGGAGGAAGGAGTGTGCGGTATTGCCCCCATGCCTGGAAGCGTCTGCGATCAGCAATAGTAGCAAATGGGATATCAGGCTGAGGTGGCGGGTCTTCCCGTCCTAGTGGTGGCTCCTCGAAAATGGGATCGTCACGTCTTCCTCCAGACATCTGCAAGAAATAAACAAAGTAAATATTTTTGGGTTAGTTTTTTTTTTTTTTTTTTTTTTTTTTTTTTTTGGTTGTTGGGTTGCCTCCCAATGAGCGCTTCTTTAACGTCACTAGCTTGACGAATGTCCTCCCTTGGTTCAAAATTTTTGGAGATAGAGAATCTCCTTGCTTTTTTCAATCGGGCCGCCATGGTAGAGTTTAAGTTGGTGGCCGTTGACTTTAAAGGGAGCCCCATTAGCATCTTCAATCTCAACAGTTCCGTAGGGGTAAGCTTTTATGACCTTGAACGGTCCGGACCATCTTGATTTAAGCTTTCCTGGAAAAAGCTTCAATCGGGAGTTGAACAACAGCACTTTATCTCCAGCATTGAAATCACGAGCTTTGATGTGTTGATCATGGTAGAGTTTGGCTCGTTCCTTGTAAAGTTTGGAATTATGAAAAGCTTGCGCTCTCCATTCTTCCAGTTCATTCAGCTGGTAAAATCGTTCCTTCCCTGCAGCATCCAGTTTAAAACAAACATTTTTCATCGCCCAAAGTGCTTTATGCTCGAGTTCGACGGGTAAGTGGCAAGACTTCCCGTATACAAGGCGAAAAGGTGTTGTTCCGATCGGGGTCTTGTAAGCAGTCCGAAATGCCCAAAGAGCGTCGTCAAGTTTAGTTGACCAGTCTTTCCTGGTCTGGGCAACAGTTTTCTCCAGAATGGACTTCAAATCCCTGTTAGCGTTCTCCACTTGTCCCTGAGTCTGGGGGTGGTACGCTACTCCGCTTCGATGTTGGACTCCATATTTGGCCAAAATTCTGGCCATTGGATCATTGTGGAAATGAGTCCCTCTATCGCTGATCAAAACCCTAGGCACACCAAATCTGGTAAAGAGCTTTTTCAGAAAATTCACGACTACTCGAGAGTCGTTGGTGACACAGGCCTGGGCTTCAACCCATTTAGAAACATAATCAATGGCCACAAGAATGTATTTGTTTCCTCTTGAGCTTGGGAAAGGTCCAACAAAGTCGATGCCCCAAACATCAAATACCTCACAAGGTAAGATAAAGTGTTGGGGCATCTCATTGCGCCCAGAAATGTTCCCGATTCGTTGACAGTTATCACAAGAAGAAACAAATACATTAGCATCCTTAAAAATCGTGGGCCAGAAGTACCCACAGTCCAAAACCCGCCTTGCGGTTCTATTCCCTGAAAAGTGGCCCCCAGTAGGACCGCTGTGACAATGCTCCAGAATGTCCCTTGCCTCAGCTTCAGTAACACATCTTCTCACCACCTGGTCAGCACAAATTCGGAATAGATATGGATCATCCCAAAAATAGTGCTTTGCTTCTGATAGGAACCGCCTTTTCATGTGCCTTGTCAGTTCGGTAGGCTCGACTTTACCAACAAGGTAGTTGGCAATGTCGGCATACCACGGTGTTTGTTCCTTGGCGGATATTGCCATCAGTCTCTCAGCAGGAAAAAGCTCCTCAATTTCGCATTTTCCAAAAGTTTCTGCTAACTCGGCATCTAACCTCGAGAGGTGATCAGCTGCCTGATTAGCAGATCCTTTTCGGTCCCTGATTTCAATATCAAATTCCTGCAACAAAAGAACCCAGCGTAACAGTCTAGGCTTAGCATCATGCTTTTGGAGGAGATATCTAATGGCCGAATGGTCGGTATAGATAATAACCTTCGAAAGAATGATGTAAGTCCTAAACTTCTCTAAAGCACAAACAATAGCAAGGAATTCTTTTTCAGTGGTAGTGTAGTTGAGTTGTGGCCCTGACAGAGTTTTGCTAGCGTAGTAGATTGGGTGGAAGTTCTTGTCCTTCCTTTGACCAAGGATGGCCCCTACTACTAAGTCACTAGCGTCACACATGAGTTCAAAGGGTAAACTCCAATCCGGGGCCACAAGCACAGGAGCATTGATCAGTTGTGTTTTAAGTGCTTGGAAAGCATGGTGACATTCATCAGAGAATATAAAAACCGCATCTTTTTCAAGTAACCGGGTGAGAGGTTTTGCGATTTTAGAGAAATCCTTTATAAAACGACGATAAAAGCCCGCGTGTCCTAAGAAGCTGCGGATGGCTTTTACCGTGGTTGGTGGAGGAAGTTTCTCTATCGTCTCAATTTTTGCACGGTCCACCTCTACCCCGTTACTTGACACCTTGTGTCCAAGTACTATACCCTCTTTCACAAGGAAATGACATTTCTCCCAACTTAGGGCTAAATGGGTTTCCTTGCAGCGGATAAGTACTTTTTCCAGGTTTTCGAGGCATTTTTCAAACGTTTCCCCAAAAATAGAGAAGTCATCCATGAATACCTCCATGAAGTGGCCAATGTATTTTTCAAAAATGGCAATCATGCACCTCATGAAGGTGGCAGGAGCATTACAGAGACCGAAAGACATCCTACGAAAAGCAAAGGTCCCAAAAGGGCATGTAAACGTAGTTTTGTCTTGGTCTTCCGGGTTGACATGGATTTGGAAGTATCCACTCATGCCATCCAGGAAACAGTAGTGACTATGGCCTGCCAACCTCTCTATTAATTGATCGATGAAGGGAAGGGGAAAATGGTCTTTCCGGGTGGCTTCGTTTAGTTTGCGGTAATCGATTACCATTCGCCACCCGGTAACAGTTCGACTGGGTAGAAGTTCGCCCTTTTCATTTTTTCATGACGGTCATTCCCCCCTTTTTGGGGACAACATGAATAGGGCTTACCCACTGGCTATCAGAGATGGGGTAAATGATACCCGCATCCAGCAGTTTGACAATCTCGGCACGCACTACTTCCATCATGTTTGGGTTTAAACGTCGTTGTGGTTGGACAACTGGTTTAAACCCTTCCTCAATTTTGATGGTGTGGGTACAAAAGGTGGGGCTAATTCCATTGATGTCCTCAAGTTTCCAAGCAATTGCTTGCTTGTGTGTCTTAAGGACTCCAAGTAATTTCTCCCTTTGTTCCTCACTTAAGTGTGCGGCGATGACGACAGGGCATTTGCCTTCGTCATCCAAGAATGCATATTCTAAGTGGTCGGGCAGTTTCTTTAGTTCGAGGGGGTGGTCGTTTTTCAAGTTTTGTTCATTTTTCTCCCCCTCAAACTCAGTCAATACTTCGTTAGAAGCTTGATCAATCAGCGCATCCTCACAACTCTCACATGCATCACTCACATCACTGTTGGCTTCTTTTAACAGACATGCTTCATCAGTTACATGTCCATTTTCTTCCCCAAACAGATACCCTTCAATAGACTCAAAGGTATCAAGAAAATGACATCCTTGAAAGGAATCTGTGGGGTGTTTCATAACATCTGAGAGTCGGAAGGTGCAAAGATCATCTCCGACTCTTAGAGTTAATGAGCCATCAGTGACATCAATCAAGGCCCTGGCGGTAGCCAGAAAGGGCCTTCCCAGAATAAGAGGTGTTTCCCTATCCTCTTCCATGTCCATTACTACAAAGTCGACTGGGAAAATGAATTTGTCAACCTTGACCAAGACGTCTTCAACAATTCCTTTCGGATATTTGACTGAGCGATCAGCCAGTTGAAGACACATCCTGGTGGGTTTCATTTCCCCGAGTCCTAGCTTTTCGACTATAGAGGAAGGCATCAGATTGATACTTGCCCCTAAGTCAGCTAGAGCATTATTGAAATTGAAATTGTCTATAGAGCAAGGGATAGTGAAACTACCTGGATCCTTTAGCTTTTCGGGTATTGACCTTAGAACCACGGCCGAGCATTCCGCGTTCAAGTCCACGACTGAGAGTTCCTGCAGCTGCCTCTTGTTCGTCAGCAAGTCCTTGAAGAACTTGGCATATTTGGGCATCTCCGCTAGGGCATCCATCAGCGGCAGGTTGACGTGGAGTTGTTTGAGTAGGTCCAGGAATTTGTTGTACTTCCTGCTATCGTCATCATTTCTAACCCGTGAAGGAAACGGGAGAGAAGGTTTGACGATAGTGACCCTTGTGTTAGGGCGTGTTGGTTCCATGCTCTTCTCAGTTGGAGCATCAGTTTGTTTCTCAGGTTCCATGGTCGGGGTACCTTCCTCTTCCTTGTCTTTCTGCTCAGCCACAGTTGTTTGTCTCCCGCTTCGGAGAGTGATGGCTTGCACATGTTCACGGGGGTTTGGTTCCGTGGTGCTAGGCAAGTTGCCTGGCTGACGACCAGGAACATTGTTCTGATTAATTTGCATCATCAGATTTTTGATCTGATTGTCAGTGCTGGCCTTGTATCTTGTTATTTCCTCCCGTGTCCTTGCCAGTTCTGCTACCAACAAGCCTATCTCTGATGGCTGGGCAGTCTCCGTTTGTCGTTGGTGTGGAGGCACATAAGCTTGGTTGTTCTGTTGGGCTGGTGCACCTCCCTGGTTCCGACTCTGGAAGTTGTTCCCTTGATTATTGTTGGGGTAGTTTTGATTACCTTGATAACCGCCGCGAGGAGGACCATTGTTGTAATCCCCCCGCCATTGGTTACCTTGGTAATTCCTTCCTTGGAAATTCTGAGGAGGGTAGTTGGAGTTACCCCCCCTGTTGCCCTGATTCGCCCATGGCCCTTCTTGTTTTGTTCGGCCGTACTCCAGCATGTTCACTTCCCTGTTGTTGTTTACATTACATTCATCGACTAATTGACACGAGTTGGTCAAATGTGGACCAAAACATATCTCACATGAGAGTACAAGTTCAGTTGAATGAGAAACAGGTGAAAAAGTATTAAATTGAGATGACTGTGGAGCAGAGCTTGAGTTCCCGAAGTATCGGGATGATTGTTGATTCGGGACAGCACCGATGTTGTTGACTTGGTTGGTGTGATTGTTTTCATTCTTCAAATTCTTCACTTCCACGACCAACCCTTCAATCTTTGCTGTTAGGGCCGTGAGTTGGTCAACTTCAAGATAGCCTGGTTTTGTTGCTGCTGGAGTTCTTTCGTCATACCAGTATCTTGCATTTGAAGTGACCTTCTCCACCAGAGCTTCGTTGGTGTTGGGTGCCATGTCAAGGAATGATCCCACCTGAGAAGAGAAATCAAGTTCTTTTTTGCTACTAACTTGAAGTCCATTGTAAAAATGGAACATCAAGCTACTAGAATCCATCAGTGTGAGTGGACATTTGTTTCTCATATCCTTGAAACGATCCCATGCTTCACTTAAGGACTCCATCGGGAATTGCCTAAAGTTCTGGATTGCTGTTTTAATTTTAGCAACTGCCGATGGAGGAAAGTATTCTTGCATGAATGCTTGGTGCAGTGCCGCCCATGTTGTGAAGTGACCCGTTGGAAAGCTATTCAGCCACAAAGATGCCCTATCCCGTAATGAGAAGGGAAATAGGGTCAACTTTGCGGCGTCGGAGGTCACTCCGTTAAAGCGGAACGTTTGGCATGCTCGGGTGAACCACAACATGTGGGCCCTAGGGTCATCTTGCTTGGACCCGCCAAATTGATGGTTGGACATCATGTTGACAATGGCGGGTTTGATCTCGAAATTGGCTGCCTCGATTGCCGGTGCGCTGATACTATCATCCTCAATGAAGTTTGGCGTAAGATTTTGCAACACCGTCCTTTCTCCCGCCATGCTTGGTTTCTTGTGGATTGAAAGATTTTTCCACAAAGTTCGTTCAGGTTCAGGATCAAGTTCAATTAGACCTTCCACTCCTTTAGAGCGGGTGTGCATTCATTTATCCTGAAATCTTTATACAAATTGTCGCAAGGGCGAAAAAGTCTCCCTAACTAGAATTCACCTATGCTAGAATTAAATCAAGAAATAATCGTGCCATTCCCCGGCAACGGCGCCATTTGATAGTCGCTTTCGCGGCGTTGTAGTAAAACGGAGTCTAACCTTTCGGTTTTTCCCCGAGTGTCGTGTCTCTTGAGGAATGGCGGAGAAGTTTCTTAATTTAATTTTAGTCACGGGCTATCGCTAATTGTTGGAAGCTTTTTCAATATAGGAAAGTGATTTTGTTCTATATTACGCTAAATTATAACTAGGAGCAAGGTGCAATTTAAAGATTAATGTATAAATATTGAATATTCAAGGATGCAAATAAGGGCAATGAATTGAGTAATTAGAAATGGATATGTTCTTGGACCTCTTAATTAGGGAAATTAAAACTAAAATTGGACTAATAATTTCTTTCCTCATAGACAAGAATAGAAACTATCTTCATTAATTTATCCTATTTCTAGGTGTCATTAATGTGTTTAAAATGGTTGGCTTAAATTATTTTCTAAACCCATAGACAAGGTAGAAATAATTTTCCAATATTTTAATTAATAAAAATAGCCAAATTCATTAACTAGTTAAACTCTTTATTTTAGCAATTGAATTTATTTCTCATAGACAAGATGTAAATCCTTTTCATTAAATTATCCTATTTCTAGGCCTTATTAATGTGCTCAAATATGGTTGGCTTAAATTAATTTCTAATCTCATAGACAAGTTAGAATTAATTTTCCAAGAATTTAATTAATGAATATGGCTAACTATTATTAATTACTATTTCATCATTTCAAACAACTAGTCCAATTTATTAATTTTAACCCCTAATTTTAGGTCAACAAGTCAATCCATATTCCTTTTCTCAATTCATGCCCTAACAAATTTAGCTACTCATCACCATTTTTGCAATTAACAAAATAATGATTAAATTCAATATTAACAAGGAATTAAACATGTATGATAGCAAAAATTAAACAAAAATTATATTCTGGAACAATAAACTTGTAGGAACTAAAATATAACTTTCTGGAATTTTTCACCAATTTTTGAACCTAAAATCCAATTTTTGACAACTAATTGATAATTTTCCCAATTTTAACTAGAAAATGCAAAAAGCAACTAAAAATATGCTAACTTCGTTATAAATTTTATTCTAGCTACTGGGAGTGATATTACTATGAATCAAACTGAAATTAAGGCCGAACTAATTTTTTTCTATTTTTCTAGTATTTATTCTAAATTATGAACTAATCTCAAATAATTACCAAAATTAATTAAAAATTACTTATGCTTCGTGAAAAATTAATTTATTCAGATAAATAACTACCTTGAGGCTAGTAAACAACTATATAATTAATTGGAATGAATTCAACAACAATAACTATTTTATTTAATTTTTGGAAGTAAATGCGAAATACTTGAAAAATAATCTGGAAATTTTCGAAGAACAGATTGAACAAACAAAGTGCAGATTCAGATTCTACTCGTTGAGAAGATGAAAATACATATAAAGAACTTACAATTTGGAGCTAAAATGAAGAAGATATGAAGATTTGAAGTTTCTCTCTCTCTAAAACCTTTGGAGCTCGAAAATGGAGGAAGAAAGAGGGTGTTTTGAACTGATTTAGGGTTGGAAGTGGTGTGTTTGAGTTGAGGAAAAATCGGGCTATTTATAGGAGAAATTTCCCCGAAGGCGGCCAACCAGGCGGCCGCCTTCCGCCTCTCTCCGGCCGCCTGCCGTCTTCGTCGCCGACAGCGGTCGGTGGCCGGTCCCCGTCAGCCGTAGGCGGCCACAGAGGGCGGCCGCCTTCCGTCACACATCGGCCGCCTGCCGTCTTTTCCTTGTCAAATCGGATCGCGGCGGATCCCGGCGGATCTCGGCCGCCGCAGGCGGTCCAGCAGGCGGCCGCCTGCCGTTCCTGTCTGGCCGCCTGCCGTCAAATCCCACCGGCCGGCGGTTGCTTCGTCGTCTTCTGCCGCAGGCGGTCACCGTAGGCGGCCGCCTTCCGTCCAGTGTCGGCGGCCTACGGTCTTTTCCGAATCCGGTCAAAGTCAAAGTTTGACTTTCCAAAAATACCGTAGGCGGCCGCGAAGGCCTTCATTTTGGGCGCCTATTTGGGCGCCTTCTGCTATTTTTGTCTGGTAGATGCGGCTTTTCCTGCTCTTCATTTTTGTCTTCTGAATCACCTTGATAAAATGCTTGCTTCTTCCGGTATAAATGCATTTGTCACTCAAATTGACTCATTTTGTGCTCAATTGACCCGAAATCCCGCTAAACATATTATGGATGTGATTTTTACCTGATTTCATGAAACTTGAACCAAAAAATATATAAAATGTGTCTTTTCTTTCTATTTTCATTCAAAAATCGCTTAAATTTGATAAGAAAAATAAGTTCAAAAATGGACTTATCATGCCACGAGCAGGTCATTGCTCGTAAGCTTGAGGATCTTCGTGGGATTAGCCCAATCTTCTGTACCCACAAAATTAAGTGTGAGGAGGGGTATAAACCAGTCGTGCAACCGCAACGACGCTTAAACCCCAAGATGATGGATGTTGTAAAGGCTGAAGTCCTGAGGCTTCTGGATGTGGGTATAATTTACCCGATTTCAGATAGCCAATGGGTTAGCCCTACTCATGTGGTCCCCAAGAAAGGGGGTATGATAGTTGTTAAGAACGAGAAGGGGGAACTCCTACCTAGTAGGACTGTGACTGGGTGGCGGAAGGTCATTGATTATCGTAAACTGAATGAGGCCACCCGGAAGGATCACTTTCCCTTACCTTTTATTGACCAGTTGATTGAGAGTTTGGCGGGGCATGCTTATTATTGTTTCATTGACGGGATGAGCGGGCACTTTCAAATACACGTTGATCCCGTTGACCATGTAAAGACCACTTCTACTCGCCCATTTGAGCCAGACTAGGAATGAGATATTATCGTCAAGCTAGTGACGTTAAAGAAGCGCTTATGGGAGGCAACCCATCATAAAAAAAAATAGAATTAGGAGTTCAGTATTTCTTGTTTTTGCATTCCCCCCTTTGTTTTTGTGATTTCGTCTTGTGGTGTTGCAGTTGGATTTCTTTGTTGCTTTGAATTGCATATGCAACCTGGTTATCATAGACAGGTGAGGATGGAGCTCCTCAAGGCTGTCAGCTGCAGATTACTTTGCAGCAAGCCCGAAAGCGGTATGAGAGCTGGACGCAACTTCAAACACTTGCAGGGCAATGGTTAGAGGCCTACACATGTTCAAGGAGTTGGGGTTTCGCTGGACAGAAACTTGGCAGCAGCAGAGGAACATTTCTGGCAGATTCTGGGAGATTTTGGACGGTGTGAGATGTCGACTTTTGAGGCCAGAACAGCTGGTCCTTGGCCGTTTTCTGTCAGCATAAGCATCACAGTACATGAGGGAGGAACCAGTTGGATGCCACACTCTTTTATCCGGTTCAGATTGAAGGGAAGCAATTTCAATACACTTATTGAGTTCGGTAACCGGCATAGGTGCAGGCAGAGTAGCTCCAGCAGCTCACTTTTGGTTTACCAGCAAGCTTTGGCAGCATAAATGGGAAATTCACAGTTATGGCACACTTGCCACGCTTTCTCAAGAGTTGAAGGACTTCAAGTAGCGTACGAGGCAGACTGTGTGCAGGATTCAGCGGCATGTATGCATCGAGGAGACTGAATTCAGCCTTATTAGGGAGGTTATTCACCGCCGTTTGGCTTGTACGGTATTCTGCCAGCTCTTACTACGCTACTAATAATGTGTGCTTACTGTCATATTACTCCTCTTGTTGATTTGTGTTGATTATTATTCTGATTATGATGTGCTGCCGGGCTGAAAATCATTTTATTCTTAAACTTGCCCCTGTTATTTCTGTTTTAAACTTTTCTTTGACCTTGAGGGCGATGTCACCCCTAAGTGTGGGGAGGTTTGGTTTTATCTTGGACATGGCATTTGGTGATGAAATTATTCTGCCCAACGACATTTTGAGGTGTACGAGTTCTTTTCTGGTTTAGCAACGCAACAGAGGTAACTTGTTAATCTTTATTTTCTTTTGTGAACTTCCATCTCCTCCATCTTTCTTGGAAAGGATAAGTAATGGTGTAATCATCGGGGTGGTGTGTATATTCTTGGGAGATGTTGGCATGTTGGATGGTTTGATTTGTGTTGATTAAATTCGGTCTTACTCATGATTCACTAGTTTGCCTCAGTAATTGCTTGACTGGCCAGGTGTTGAAAATCCTTACTCCGTAAGGAGCTCTGCTTTCTAAGCATATCGGGATAACTTCATGCTAAGCAGGTAACTGATTCTTGTAATGGGGCTACACTTCGTGTGTCGAGAATTTCATCCCCGAAATGGGGCTCTGCTCATCTCGCGAATCACCTCGTGTGAGAGTTGAGTACACAGTAATGAGATAAACTCCCAGGCCCTGGAGCTTGAATCAGTCCTGTAATCCAGAACCTGGTCAACTTTTCATATATATAAAAAAAAGAGAGAATCACGAGTATACCAGTTTTCATCACACAACTCTTGGGTTTTTGGAATGATTGGTGGTTTGAATTTCACACACCTACACCGTTGGGACCCTCATGCTTTTCTCTACATTTTAGTCGGTTGGAGAGGAATTTTACTTTTGAAAATATTGTTTAACATGTGAATCTTGGTTCCGTTGTTAAGAAAGAAAAGACCTTGTGCAATCATTTGTTTTGGGTGTGAATGATTTTTGAACCAGGTGTTATAGGTGATTATTTTGTTTTCCGTGGATTAATGCACTGTTGCTTGGGGGCAAGCAACGCTCAAGTGTGGGGAGATTTGATAGGCTCGTTCCGTTCCTATCTTTTCACCTATGCTTTGGGTGTTAATTGTCTAATTTTTACAATTAATCGGGTGACTATTGGGGGTTTTGAGTGAAAATTTGTTATTTTTCGGTTCCGGTGGCATTCATATTCAGTGTAGTATTTTTGTACACAATTTGACATTCTTGGAGTAATTTGATTGTAAAGTTACGTATTATTAGCGGGTGTGGTGAGTTGTTATTGTACAGGCCGAGTTTGCGGTAAATATGTTTGGACCAGATCATTTAAGGACTGTTTTTGAAGTTAAGTGCAATCCAAAATGAAAAAAAAAGGACAGCAGCAGTTTGTTTAATTGATAGCAGCCCAAAAAGAGAGTAAGAAGGAGCTGGGGTTTTTCCTGGAGTAAGCAGCCCAGCCTGGACTCCATTCATTCCTCCCACTTCTGAAATTACTTAGCCGCACCAGCAGTTTTTTTCATCGTTCTTTCTGTTCGTAGACAAGTCCTGATATCCGTCAATTAGCCGCAGCTGGCAGTAGTAACCAGAAGACCAAGTAGCCGCACTTTGTATTTTCTGATTCATTTAGTAGCAATTAGCCGCAGCAGTAATCCATAACCAAGGAACTTGTAATCGTTACTAACTTACAAGTAGTAAGTTAGTGTAACGTTTCCTTTAACCCCCGTACAGTTTATTACCAGATGATTTAGCGGGTAATCGTTTGTCAGTTTCTATGGAATTATGTCTTACTTACCGCTCGACTCCCTTATTCTTGAAGGTTGTACAAACTTTATCACTATGAACGAACTATACTTCCTAAGTTATAAAGTTAGAAGATTAAAGTTAGAAGGAACCATACTGTGGAATATTAGCGAAGAAGTAACTTTTGATAATGAACGGCCCAAAGGAAGTTTACGATTAAAATATTATTATTTTTGTCTCGTATAGACTACATGTATGAACACAACACATTTTTATTAGTGAAGGAATGAAGGGTTTAGAAAAAAAACTCTTCCATAGCATTTTCCTAATTATCCTACAGCTAATTACGGAAGCAAAGAGATAGAATTATAAAGTAATTATTGAAAACAAAAGAATGTCTGTTGTCAAGTATTTTGTGTCAGACAGTTATGTGTTTGACAATGTCAATTTTGTTAAACAAAACATTTATGATGTCTTGTGTTTAAGAAACATGAAAATTTGAAACTAAGAAAACAGTTCCTTTTAATGTTGGCAGTTTAATTTTAAATCACATATTGATTTTTAGAGGGAGCCCAAGCAGATTTTTCCTCTAGATTTTGAGGCTATCAGTTTCAATTAGTGAATTATATGCTCAAAGATTGGATAAGATGTTTCAAAACTGAAATTCTAAGATAAAATGAAAAATCTAATTTACAATTTGATTCAACTTTCCTGACTACTCAGGGATACAAATCAATGAAGTTATTATATTGGGTTCCAGAGGTGTAGAACCATAAGAAAGTTTTTCTTTTGATGAAAAGATAACAGTGAGATTAATTTTTCTTGAAGAGTATAAAACACACGCTATACTTAAGTACTTTATCACGCATAAAAGAAGAAGAAGATGTCATAAGGATCCAACAGTAAATATATAATACTATGTTAGTGTCATTAAGATTTTTTTTTAAGTTTTAGGCTCACATATGAGTCTCATAAGTCATAACACCGCTACCTTGAACAGTTTGTGAGATAGCCACTAAGTTGGTATAGTACATAAAGGGCGTATAGCATAAATAAAGCAATTTGTTGGATAGAATCGATAAAATGGCGAATGAGAAAACTATGCCTCCCTCACAACGCAAACAAATGTGAGGAGGAAACTCTTAAAACTGACAGAGAATGAAACATTTCTTTTTTATATTGTAATGCCAAATTTCATCAATCAAGGATGAGTTTTAGAAAGAGTCTATTCTAGTTTTTTTTTAAAAAGAAAAGTATGAAATGTGTAAGCATACCGGTAGAATGTGATTCTAAACTTCTTTTTAGTAGTATGTGGGATAAGTTTTTATGACGAGGTCAAAAATTTAGCATTATCTTTCTTTATCATTTTAATTAGCAAACAGGGCAGAGCAATTCGTATATATACGCTATGTTGTGAGTTGCTGATTTTGTGTCGTAGTGTTGGCAGAAAATTGAGAGCATTAAACAAACTTTCTTATTAAGGTAATTTTTCAAGACTGTTGAGGTCTTGTGTAATCTTAAGTAGTCGTATGTCTCCCGAATAAGAAAAACTTGATGAGTATGATATACATCAAAGCCACATGCTCCTAAAGTGAAGTAACCTTGTGAAAGGTATAAGAGCTATAATAGTCGTACTAAAGCTAAGTCAGAAGTTTAGATTGAGATAACGTGAGATAGTACAAGTTGTCCCAAGTTTCGAGGACGAAACTTTTATAAGGTGGGAGGGGTTGTAACACCCCAATTTTAGCGATCTAGTTATATTAATCATTATTATTTATTTTAGTCAGCTAAACAAGTTACTTGTGTGAATAATGTGATATATTCTTTTCCATGATTTGTTTGTTGGCAGGTAACGTTGACCGATAAGCTCATAAAAATTTTAATCGAAGAAATAAATATTATTTTAATATCTAATTAGTATATTATTGAAAGGGAAAATATGAATATTCAGTTGGGTCACAAGTATATCTTAAAGGACTAAGAGACCCAAATCAGTTATCTTGGCCCGAATTAATATTTTACCTAGAAATCCCTAACGAGATATGCTTAAGAAGATCCTCATCGTAAACTCTTAAGCTATAGACTCTCCTAAACCCTCAATCGGCTCTCTCCTTTAGTAGCCTGAAAATTTTCTTATCGAGTCACCCTGGAAATTTCTCTCCAACTCTTCAATTGTTGGCCAAAGCTTTAATCCTATCATTCGTGCATCTTTTAACAAGGTAATCTGAATTCTTTTCCCACTATGTTAAATTTCGCTCCTTAACTCGTATTACTGGAATTGGGTTGGATAGTTATGTTTTTCTTTTAGTGCGGTCAGGTCAGATTGCTTTTGGGAGGCTGGGTTTTATCTATTTTAAATCATAGGCAGTTTCTTTCTTTATGATTGAGGTTTTAAATTGGACAATAGCTTCTTCTATATGTTCATGCATGCTGCTTCCAGTTCTTGCTAAAATTGTTATTGGAGTTGGGATTTTCCTAACTTTCTATGGTCCTGAAATTATGAGCTTTAATCAGCTTCTGTTTGTCATCAAGGATAACTATTTCCATTCCTCAAAGTGTAACCTGTAAATTTTAGTTAAAATCAATAAGCCTTCAATAAATCTTAGTTCTGACTTGCACTTTCATAAGCCAAAAGATGCAGAAGAGTGTATTTGAAATTTAATTTTAAAAGGGGGTTGCTGCATAAAGGTTTCCAAGTTTTAAAATTTATATTTTCTTTTAGTTATCCGTAGAAGCTATATAAAAGAAAAGAAAGTTTAGAGCAGCACTCCAGTCTGGGATTTTTGTATTCGTTTTCAGTTCCTGCGCTTAGTTCCCAGCCAACTTCATTCCTGCTTCAAAATTCTAATTCTACGAGTAGTAAAATTCTATCACTTAAAGTTTTAGCTTCAGAATGTTTAAAGCAAAAACCCCCAAGAAGAATATCAGATTCTCTCCTATGGGTAATTTCAAAGAAGAATATCAGATTCTCTCCTATGGGTAATTTCAAACAAGAGGACTTATTATTATTATTATTTTGGGTAATGATTAAAATAGGGAAATTTCTAATTTGCAATTCATTTAATTAAAGATTAAAGAGAAGAGCTTACCGAGAGACGTTATCAAGGTGCCACACTTATCTGAGTATTTTGAGTTCAGCTGCTAACAGGTAAGTTCACTACCACCTGTACATGTTTGTTCAACCAAATGAAAGAAAGAAGTCTGGTTGATTTTTAATAGATAATTTTAGACTATTTGCTATTATGTGAACTATGTGAATTATGTGATGAGTTATTTTATTGCTAGATTAAGTTATGTTTATTATCTGGCATAGTCAAGATTTGTTAGTACTTTCGTTTCCAGATTTAATGATGTTTAGTCAAACGTCACCATAAAAAGAACTAATACTTAAAGTGAAAGATTAAGTGATATGTACTCGGGAACTAGATCCCTCAGATTAGCAGTTTTAGTTTTAGATAGTCCGATATGTTTAGTGGGTCGCTCCCCTGAGCTGTCGGATTGGCGCCATTGAGTACATATCACGGGCCCACAGTTAAAATTAGCCACAAAGAGTTTTACAGAAAGTTTATGAGATCTCTTTCAGAAAGTTTTACAGAAAGTTTAATGAGATCTCTTTCAGAAAGTCTTACAGAAAGTTGTTTTTGAGATCTCCTTCAGAAAGTTTACAGAGATGTTTTTAGAAAGAAATTTTGAGATCTCTCCAGCAGTTTTGAGAAATTATTTTAGAAAATATTTCCTTTTGAGATCTCCCTCAAAATGAATTTGAGAAGATATGTGTTATTGTGTTAGTTACTTGTTCAGTGCATGCTTATAGCCTAATTTTATCTATTGATAAATTAGCATAGACTTCTCATATATTTTTGTGGATCCATAGTGACTTACTAAGCGTAAAGCTTATCAGTTTTCTTTCTTCGCATGTACAGATACTAAGGGTAAGCCCAAGGCCTAGGAAGATGATGAGGGAGTGGAACGCGTGCCAAGATGAGTTGACGGGAACGACCTTGGCGGCTTTTTGCTAGATATTATTTTGCTTCAGTATTTAAGTGTTATAATAAAGAGATTATTATTATTTTATTTTATTTAAGGATTTGATGTTTGAATAAATTCCTGGATCCAGGTGGTTATCACATTTGCTGGTGATAACTAGATTTTATTAAGTTTTTTTATTTGGAGTTGTTTTAGTTACTTTTGAGATTTTATCAGGGTTACTTTCTTATATAGACGGCCGTTATATTGCAGTTATTTTTAAAAAGTAGTAAGTTAGTGTAACGTTTCCTTTAACCCTGAGAGGGGCGTTACAAGTTCGGTGTTTTTTTTACAAAAAAAAAACACCGACCAAATTCTGATCCTGAACGCTTATTCCGAGGAAGAGCTAAAAGGCGTTTGCTAGAAGACTTGGAGAAAATGGCCGATCAGACAACTCTGGAGACGTTGACGCCTAATTATGTGGCGAGAAATAGCATTGGGGCACCCACCATTGAGGCCAACAATTTTGAAATCAAGCCGGCCATGATTCAGATGCTTGCTAATAATCCATTTTGTGGATACGCCCATGAAGATCCAATGGAGCATATTGAGAGCTTTATTCAAACTTGTGCCACGTTCAAATATAACGGGGTATCCAGCGAGGCAGTGAGGTTGACTTTATTCCCATTCTCTTTGAGAGACAAGGCATCACGGTGGCTCCGTAGCTTTCCAAACGGGCACTTTGATACATGGGAGAAGCTTCATCAAGCATTTATGCAGGAGTATTTTCCTCCCTCTGCCGCTATCAAGGTTCAGACGGAAATTCTCAATTTCACTCA